TGCTGCTCCTACTACTACTACTACTACTACTGCTACTGCTGCTGCTACTACTACTACTACTACTACTGCTACTACTACTACGACAACTACTACTACTACTACTACTACTACTACTACTACTTCGTCTACTACTTCTTCTACTACTACTGCTACGCCTGCTGCTAATACTACAACAACAACAACAATCACAACAACAACAACAACAACCACAACCACAACCACAACCACAACGACAACGACAACCACAACGACAACAACAACAACTACTACTACTACTACTGCTACTACGTACTACTACTACTACTACTACTACTACTGCTGCTGCTGCTGCTGCTACTACTACTACTACTACTACTACTACTCCTGCTGGTGCTCTACTTCTACGACGACGACGACTACGAATTCTACTACTCCTGCTGCTGCTCTACTTCTACGACTACGACTACACGAGTACAACTGCGACTAAAAACTGCTACTGCCGCTGCTACGGCTACGGTGCGGCTATGGCTTCGGCTGCGGCTACGGCTACTGCTCTGCTACGGCTGCTGCTGATGCTACTACTACCACTGCTACTACGGCTACTACTGTTACTGTCACGGCGACTACCACTACAAGGGGTAGCCAGGGGTAGCGTTGTGTCGCCCCAGGGCGCGTGAAGTCGCGACACCTCATGGTCACGCGGGAACGCGTGAGGCTACACGAGGGCGTGTGAAGTCACACCACAAGCATAGCTGCACATCGCTTTCCCCATGGCCCTGCACTTCCTAGCACATTCCTGGCACAGACGTCAAGTTAGGATTTCGAGTACCACGCCCAGGCTTTCTTAGGAAACAGTAAGCAAATCTCGACAATCCCGAATCAACGTGATCACGAATCCCCAAGTAGACACTCGGTGACCGCGTGCTTCCGCCCAGTGTGGGGTGGGATACGGTGGGATCCAAAAGACATAATGCGACTTAGCTGCGTCGCTGTACCGATTGCCAGGACTTGTTCAGAATGGCTTGCCCCCAGTGTCCGCGCACAAAGGTATGACTTCACACAGCGCGGTAGGACTTAGCACAAACCCGAAGTAACAGTACTACGACTACGGACGACAACGACGAGTACGACTACGACTGCCACCACCACCACCACCACCACTACTGTGACTAACAGTGCTGCTGCTGCTACTGCTACTGCTACTGCTACTGCTACTGCTACTCCTACTCCTACTCCTACTACTACTACTACGACGACGACGACAACGACTGTAGAAGGATGCATCAGACGTGTCAGCTCACAAAAAATGATCAGGACGATATGGGGATCAGGTCGGGAGAAACGGATCAGGAAACGCACGAAAAGGATCATGGCGTGCCTGGTCGGAGCATTGTATCGGCTTAGGTGTTCACTGTATGAAGTTCTCACACTGGGGTGCCTCGGTATCTACATGTAGACGACGAATGCAGGGTCTTGGATAACTCCCGGTGTATGTCACGCCCTCTGTGGTCTTGGATGAGTCCTGTTGCATGTCACGGTTCCCCTAGTCTTGGATGAGTCCTGGTGTCTTTCACGCCCTCCTTGGTCGTGGATAAGTCCTGCTGTACGTCAGCCCCCCGCTCGGTCTTGGATGGGTCCTGTATAGTCCTGTTGTATGTCACGCCTTCCTTGGTCTTGGATGAGTCCTGCGCCAGCCGATTCGTGGGGACCCGTCTCCGAGCAGGGCCCAAAGTCGGGGGTGCCTCGCCTTGATCCGATTGGCTGATCCGGTTCGGGGCCGCTGATTCGCACCTGGAACTCCCTGTTACCTGCAGCTTCCCTACTGCTACCACTACTACAACGACTACTAGTGGCTATGACTACTACTACTACTACTACTACTACTACTACTACTGGTACTGGTACTGGTACTACTACTACTACTGGTACTGGTACTGGTACTGGTACTGGTACTGGTACTGGTACTGGTACTGGTACTGGTACTGGTACTGGTACTGGTACTGGTACTGGTACTGCTGCTTCTGCTTGAATATGGAAACCGCATTACACAGAAATGTCCGCGCATGCGCAATGAGCAACCTGACTCTGAAGCATGGAATATGAATCAAAGAGTTTCCTAAGTCCTGCACTCGCCCACTTGATGGCCCTTTTGTGCACTCCTGCAAGGCTGCAAGGATGTCTGATTCTCCCGCTTTGCTTCAACCTCCGGTCCTCAGAAACAGTTCCAAACCTTGCTCCGGCTGGCGCAAGTTCCATGCCTGCAGGCCGGGCGGAGTGCAAGTCTTGTGGACAGCTAGACCGGTGTTGGTACGTGTTGGAAAGGATCTGCCTTTCGACAGCCAGAGAGAGACAGAGCAGGGCGGGCTCGCAGCGAAGTCCAAACAGTATCTCAGTAAGCCACTAAAGTAGTGAAGACGACGCCATGCTGAGAAAGTCTTGTGAAAGGCTTGTAAGAGGACGAAACCGGGGACAGCTGCAGCTAGTGACAGCCTTTTGTCGCGACATGGGTGTCTTACGACCACGACAGATCCTGCAGCGAAGCCCTGACAAAACTGGCAAAGTCAGACAACAGGCGGAGGGCTACGAGCGGGGGTTCGAACCTGGTCACAGTCCTCGCCATGCGTCTCCATGCGTGACATACTTGCGTTGCATCGTGGAAGTTTGCAAGGTTTTGCAAGGTTTGGCCTGCACGCCCAGCTCGTATTCTGCTCGAGCAGCGTGCTCCAAGCCGGCGTCCAAGCCAGGCAAAGACTGCCAGGGGACCTCCAAAGAGAACGCGCTCTATGGCGACTAGTGTGAGTCTGATACAATCTCATGCCTGCGCTGCCAGATGCACGAAAGATGCGCCGACAGCTGGCAAGTAAGTGAAGGCCTGGCATGAGCAAGCAGATGTAAGCCTTTAGTTTCGTCCAACTGGTCGGAGGCACCCGGAGAATCATAATCCATGGCATCCATGGCATTCATGGGAGCCAAGAGCCGGCTTCGCTCGGTGACTCATTTCTCCAACCAAGCTCTCACAGCTGCTTCGAACGGAATGCGCTGCCCTGTGTGCTATCATGAGCTATCCTTTCTTTCAAACAAGCTGATCTTCTGTCTGTGCGCACTGCAAGGACCATTTCTGCTGTGAATTCCAACCAACTAAGCTTAAGATGGCTTCGGAGATCCGCCGTCCAGTCTTCTGCGGAGTGCTCAATCTGGAGCCCATGCTGCAGGAAGTGTCGCGGAATATCATCTGGGTGCTCGCCCGTACCAGGCAACGCGAGGCAGCTCGCCCTCTGCCACTTGGCATGGTGGAGACAAGCGTGACATTCTGAACCGAACAATTGAAGGGCTGTAGCTCGAAGAAAGAAATTCGGATCCGACCATGCGGAAGAGACCAGCCGATTCAAACAATGACTCGCCCACCATACATGGCATCCGATCCCACGGAAGCATCCCACGTGCCCCTCCCATGAAGCATAAATGCACCGTCAGCCGTGTCACCCACCGCAACTCGCAGTCGATCTTCTGGTCGGCTGGCCGACCTATCTCTCCCCATGATGCCAGCGCATGCCAGCCATCCAAGCCACCACACGGCCCGACCCCAACGACCGACAGCAGCCTGTGAGCATGCGGCAGCGCGCATACAAACGCAGTGAGATTGCCAAAGGTGTGCTACATCTGCTACATGTGCATATTTCACCAGAATCTTACCCGCAAGCTTCCTGAGTCAGGCCTTTGCAGAAGTGCGCACTCCCCTGCGGACAGAGGGACGTTACGCTTGGCCCAACGCCAAAACAGTGCAAACGATGGCTAGAACGTTCAGTCGTGCGACATACACAAACAGACACCATGAGCAGCGAAACGGAAGGTGTTGCGAGAAAACACAGCAATTGCAGGTATGTGAACCCAGCGCCCAAGGATCATGTCACATTCGACAGACAGGCACCGAGTTGCGTCTATGAGCCCCAGGGCCCCCTGCTGACAGGGTAATCGTAAACTCTGAGCTATGCACCGAAGTTCCCCATATACAATCATATTCAGAAATCATGAAGAGCGTGGATCGAAGTTTCCAGCGGCACATACGGCGCACATGTCTAGTTGGTCACCCACCCACAGAGAGAGAGAGAGAGAGAGAGAGAGAGAGAGAGAGAGAGACACAGACACACAGACACACACACACACACGCGCGCGCGCGCGCGCGCGGCATTAGAGCATCCCGTCACAGCCGCCCTCACACAATCCCCAGCAACCAAGCGGTCCCGATTGGAAGAGACTGCCCAGCCGAGCCGCTGTCCCGGGCCCTGACTGCCATGTCGTGGGCTTCGGCTCCACTCGACAGGTTTTGCGAGCCGTCTGCTGCAAGCTGATGTGAAGCCGTGGCTGATACGGCTGCCCAATGGCAAATGGTCTTTTGGTCAGTCTGCGTGCGGTGAGTCTGCGGCAGGTCCCTTCCTAGGTGCAGGTGCGGACAACACGGGATGCCATGCAATGTGGAGACAACACGAGTTCTTGGTCCTTTCAGCTGAGCTGCAGCCAATAACTGAGACCGAAGACCGCCAGAGAGCAGAGGGACGACAACAGAAAGACCTGATTCGTGGACCGTGCTAAATTAACTAGTGGTTTGTCAATATTTTGGGCGCACATAATCAAAGTGAAGGTGGACGTAAGACAGGTCCACCTGGGCTTGAAAGAAATCTGTGCAAACCATCCCCACAACTAAATGGCCTCTGTAAGTTCTACACTTCGCCCACCATCATTAGCAGATCTGCACGATCGCGCTTAGGCACGAACCTGGTCACAGGACGGATGTGCCCGACACGCACTGCAAACTGCCCTGCTTTGCAACATGCTCCGAAATCGGAAACCAGCCTCAGGGTGAGAATAACGCAAGCTGCAAAGTACATGGCCATGACCTACTTCGTCGGGAATCGTTTCCATACATGCAAGTGCATTTAGTAGATGCAGAAGACTGGATCGCTCCTCAGACAATAGCAGCGCGAGTGAGTTTGATGTCACGGATGTAGACACCTGATTGCACACATTTGCGCACTACCCATCACTCCAGAAGTTCAGAGAGTTGGCGCACAGATGCAACTGCCGGCCTTTTACGCGAGTTCTCTAAGACCACTACACGTGACACGGGTCTTCATACCATGTTTGCAAGCTGTCGCGGCGGCCCACATCGAGCATACTGCAGCATTCATCGAGCCATCACTATGATGGCGAGCGGGAGCAAGAAGATGCATTTCTGAAACCACTATCACCGCTTCTCAGCTGACCGCTTCAAAGCCCCATTTACCGTTATGCCTCTTATTATCACCACCACCATCATAAACATCACCATCATTCCGGCCCACCATCATCACCGTCACCATCATTATCGTCATCACCATCACCAGCATCATCATCAGCAGCAACAGTATCATCACCATCACCATCAGTGTCCTCGTCGTCGTCATCATGCTGATTGTGTCATGTTTTTATCGTCTTATACTACTTTTACTTCATCATGGTCGAAAGTATCGCGATCATCAAACTCGTCTTTCATCGAGAAAATAATCATCCTCACCAAAATCGCCACCACCATCAGCACCGGCAAAAAAATCGAGACCACCGCCATTACATGCACGTTCGCCATCGCCAAACACAAACTACCATCGAGACTCCGGCCATCATGTTCATTATGCTACTGACGGCGATGACCATCATGCAATGCTTTGGGCGTCACCCCAATCGACAAAGGCCTGCAATCCACACGACGGTCACCCCACTCAAGATCAAGTCCACCTGTACACAGTCTCTTTACCGGAATGTGTCATGCCAAACCACACTACACAAGTAGCTTCTTCTCGAGAAGCTTCCGCCCTCGCTTGTCGTGGCCGTTGTGTCGTTTTCCCTCAAATTGCATCAGCCAGAGAGTGAAGAGGTTTTTGCGGCACGGACTTTGTTTTCGAAAGCGACTATTGAATACTGCGAGACTCCCAACACTCCTAACCGGCGGCTATCGCAAATGGCAGCACATGTTTCGATTTGTTCAAGCTTCGGCACGGTTCATCGACCTAACTGAAGCAAAACAACACGAGGCAATCACCCTGAACTTCCGACACCACAATTCCCGGGGTTGACCCAGCAAGTCCAGCTTCTGGGGTTTAGCCGTGCGCAAAGTGCAATCTTCACATGACAGCGCCAAGAACCTGCTGGATCATAAGTTGCTTCCACATAAAACGAATCCAACAAACTTCATTCTCTACGCCGAGCAATTTCCTGCACGAGACTCGGGCAATCTAACCATACAGTAGCCGATAGTTCTTTTGCTGGTTGAGAACAAACTACAAAGTTGAATGTCACTCATACTCTTTGCAAGAATGCTGGCGGCCGTCTAAGATGTCAAACGCATGTTTAAACTAAACACATTTCATGTCAAATTGAAAACTGCGCTCTGCGCATTCCCTGGACTCCCACAAGTCCATCCGACAAACCTGCAAAGAACTGGGCAAGTCGCCATGCGAAAGATTGCGAGGAGTCGCTGGATAAATTGGCGGGTGTTCGCAAACGCGAGGTAGCCGACCTGCCATGGTAGCTGAGTCCAGTAAACTTCACTTTCGCACGGTGCCCAAAATTGCTACTCGCCCATGCAAGGATCTTTTTGCCGACAGCTCGTGGTATCTGGCCGCCATGCTTCAGACTTTGGAAAGGATAGGGTCGCAAACTGGCAATGCCCCATCTTTTTGGCTAACATTGCCTTCAGATGAAGAGGGAATGTACCTGGTTGGCAAAAGGATTATCTTGATTAAGCCTTACATCGCATGTTTGTCTTCGAAGAGAGGACCAAGCCCAAGACCATCTCTGCGCCAAAACCTTGCTGCTGGTTCATCAAGCCCGTGTCAACACTGCCATTGTTTGGACAATGAAACACAAAACTTGAGGCGCTTGCGTTGGTATGCTTCTCGGCTGACGACTAGATCTTTGATCACTTCGCACCTGAGAATGCAAGCACAGACACAGCACGCTCGCATGGTGCATGAAGAGCAGTCAGTTTGTTGCAGAGCAAGGACTGTGCCAACAGCGATCCACCAATCCATGCCTTACTGCAGTCATTGTGGGAAATGTGCCGACGAGTGACGGGCGCATGGACTGTCTATCATGACACAAAGCCGCTTTGAGAATAATTAGTGTCTTCTCTGCACGCGTGCGCGAAAATCCGACATTTCCAAAAAACATGTCCACTGGCTTTCAGCTTTGCCCTGTCTTGGGCGATGCGTTGCCGAAAGTGCCACGGCTGCCGCAAGGGTTGATTGGTGTGCTGCTGTTGTGTTGTGAGCCTGGGGTCGCCAGTGCTCGCATGCACGATTTTGGACCCTGAGGCCGCCACAGTCGCGCATGTGGGGGTTCATATTCATGGGGCTTGACTCCGTGCAACATGTTTTGAGTTTTGAGCTCTGTGACCGACCCCCCCCCCCTCCCCCCCGTCGTAAAATTGGATTTCGCTCCCACCTGCCCCCCACCCCGTGAAATGTAACCTGGGCGTGCATCCCTCGCAAAGCGTAGAGGAACACAGGCAACGCAGGAGTCTCTTTTTACTACAGGCGCACAGCTGTACATCGTACTCTGCTGGAACCTTGAGCAACAGGCATGGATACATGCAAGTGATACGTGAAACAGACTCGCACGTGGATGTGTAACCTTCAATGTTTCAACCAGGCACAAATTCAAAACACAGACAGGCATCTGGATGTGTAACATTCAGTGTTTCACCCCAACCCCTCCCCCCCAAACCCCCCCCGGCACTCCCTCGTCTCTTGCTTGGGGCGGGCGAAAAACACAATGCCAAAGCTTGGGAATTCTGGGGTACTCTGTTGCAAAGCCTGATTCCCCATTCACCTTCAACATATGGGAGGCTGTAGTGAGAAGTTGTAATACGATTTTTAGAGTAATGTCTATAGGACCCTATAGGATAATGCAGGGAATGTGCCACCTTTCGCATGGGACTGTTGCTCAGAGCCTCAGCATGAAATCAAATACTTTGCTAGTTTACTGTTTTTACTATCTCATTCCACATACAGTACTGCCGTGGCCGATGTTTGGGATTGGCAGCCGGAGATGCAACAAAGCTTTTGAATCTCGGGCAGCCACCCGTCCATGTCGGCGCTGTACTAAGTTACCGTTTTACCGTTTCATTCCAAACACAGTACTGCCGTGGCTACCATTTACTGCCACGTGCTACCACGTACTACTAGGTATTATCAGGTATTACCAAGCACTGCCCCGTACATACTACTATGTACATTCAGAACGAAGCTTTTGCATCTCGGTCAGAACTGCCGTGGCCGATGTTTGGGGTTGGCAGTCCGATATAAAAAGCCAGTTTTGGCATCTCGGGCAGCCAGCCCCAAACATCGGCCTTGGTCCTAAAAGTTTTTTTGGCTGCCTAGTCGCTGGTACGGCCCCTTTTTCATCTTCAGGATCGTCATTCGGTCGGCGTGGCATGGAATTGCATGGATATGGTTGCAGTTCGGAGTCGGCCCAAGGAGCCACGAACTCAAGCGACGAACGCGGACATGTTGGGCCAACCGGGCGCTGATGTTCGAGGCATGCACCGTCAGTGCATTGCTGCACACGCAGGTGTGCTCGATTGCACAACAACGTTGCAAGGAGTCCGAGGCGTGAACTTCACAGTGCCAAAACTGTCTTACTTGTCTGTGGCTGGTGCTTGAATCGATCCAGGTTCTGGCGCGCAAACCTGCATCTCAAGTGATCACGAGAGCGTGCTGGGATATGCTGGCGAAAGCTGCACAACGCTGCAGAGCCTTGACGATTTCTTGACTTTGGCCCGGCGCCACCCAGCGGCTGCAGTGCCTCGAAGAAGGAAACATTGCTCATACGAGCTCTCAGCAACAGCCCTCATCATCCTGCAGTCTGAAAAATCCTTGCATTGGCTTAGTATTAATACCTTTGAAAAGGGCTTGCTGGGCCAAAGGTTGGGATTCATCTCTTTTGGATCTTTGGTCAAGAGCGCCTGATCTCGGTAGCCAGTCGCTCTTGGAGACCAGGCAATTTGGACGTGCCTCCAACGAGTATAACGTTCTGAAGAAGCTGACCACGGACGTTGATGTTGCTCTGCAGCCGCAAACTTGCCAGCACCATCTCCGGCAATGTCTGCGGTGTCTGTGGCATCGAGTCAGCACCAGGCACACGACAAACGGTCGGGTCGAATAAACACTCTGCGCATCTGAAGCCTTCTCCCCGGCTGGCCTGAAAAACACAGCGCTTGCCCCCTGTGCCCACGAAGTGGCACATGCTTGGCTTTGGTGGCTGCTTCGGCACGTCCATTCGTCTAATGTTCTGCAATTCAAGGGTAAAGTCTTGTGCCACCCAAGCCAACTGTTCTTTCGCTGTTTTCCCAGCTTCAGCTCCAGACACGCCGTCGGGCAGCACAGCACCAGCATCTTGGAGGAGCTGGAACATTGCCATGTCCAGCACGTTTCCTCCTACGGAGCTGTGCACGATGCACTCGGTCAACGGATAGCCATCTTCGACTGGTGTCACAGTCGTTCCTGTTGCACCGATATCTACGACCAATGCAGTCGAACTCCGGGCTGCAAGGCCAACCAGAAATGCTGAACTAACCAGGCAAACAGACTTCGCCGCGAAGTCTTCGAAGAGCAATTGGCAGATGCTTTCCTTCGTCTTTCTGCACGTCCACACAGGCACCGAAATGATCAAGTCCTGGGCTCTTTGCCCTATCAGAGAATGCCAAAAGCGAGCATCTTGCAAACAGTCTTGGAAGCTGAACGGGCACTCCTTAACTATGCCAGGCTTTGAATCCATGCAATGGCCAGCTTTGAAGCTGTATGCTCCGCAGTCTACCACAGTAGCCATTTCGGCAGGAAGCATGCAACATGGCGCTACACGTCTCCTGCTGGCTTCTTCGGCTGGGAGTGGTTTACGATGGGTACAAGCACCAAAGCAAGCATGGGTTGTCGGAAAACACGAGTAACGTCGCAAGCCCCGACAAAAGTTAACATATTCGAGTGTTCAGCAGCCAATGTTGCTGCCTTCGATAGTTCGAGAGTCCCCTCACCTCGAGTCCTACAGCTGCTGAGCGATCACACCACTCGGAAACTGTGTCTTGTTCCTGCCCAAATCTCGGTCACGATGCTTTCAACCACTGGCAACAAATCTACACGGTTGGGATCAGGGAGGTTTTCATCCTTTCAGGAGTTGTCTAGCAGTACGACTCTTCAGTGTCCATGGCTTAGGGCTTAGGGAGGAAAGATGATCTCTTCACACGGCGCGCTTTGCAAGACCCGCTTGCAAAGAGTCGTTGTCAAGGGAAGCCGGTGCTGCGAAAATCAACGACAGCATTGGTGCCCAGTAGGAGACGTCCACAGGAACCTTAGCTCACAAAATGGCGACACTGACAGCAGTCCAGACAAGTGCCTTATGCGGAAGCAATCACAAGCATGTCACAAAGACTCAGATGCTCGCTCGGAGGTTTAAGAGAAGGATCGTTAACAACCTGGACGGATATCGGACACCCTGTATTCGGATCTTGCCAAGCGTTGCCTGCCTGGTCGCAGGATCCTCGGCCTGCGCACTGCCGCGCCTCAAAAACTGCTTCGTGGTGCGGCGACTCATGCGTACCGTCACAAAGGGTCATCGTCCAGCATCCTGCCTAAGCAAGAGATTGATGGAGGACCTGGCTCGCTGAGACACTTCGATCCACTTTGCAAGTCAAGCGGAGGGCTTTGTGAGGCCCAGACATCAGTATCTTGTACACGCCTCAGGCTCAGCCGAAATGCATCCTGCTTGCTTTCGCTGCCGTCTTCTGGAGCTGTGAAACCGCCGCCGAGGCTCATATGGCAGAACAGCACCGCCCCAGAACATTCATGACCTGGCATCTACATGTCACCATGTCTGGTTGCTCCCATGTCTGTGCGCTCAGATTCTGCAAGCGAGAGTAGGGCGGCCCTGCCAAGCATAGTGCGGGCTTTGAGCTCGCATAGGCGGGCCTTGTCAAGCAAGAGATGGAAAAAGCTGCTTGGCTCATCTCATTGCTCGCTGTCACATCATGAGGAGTGAGGGTGAAATGGAGAATGTGTCTGTGAGATAGTGAGAGGTGGGGCGTGGGGAGTGAGCACTGTGAGAGAGAGAGAGAGAGACAGAGGAGTGAGGAGTGAGGATGAAGCCCGCAAGCATGGCCCCAGCAAGCGAAACCTCGAGCCCTGATACCTTCTGCGGATAGCCTCAAGATAACTCAGGGCCTCCACTGAATCTTCACTCACCGTCCCCCTGCAAAGGGAGGATCCAACATGAATCACTCCAGTCCGACCGTGCCCAAACCCCAAACGTGGGTCGTGGTCGGCATAGCACACGAGGAGAGGAAGAAGATGAGGGTGAGCCCGCTCTCTCTCGTGAGCGGTTCGCTGCTCTGCCATTTGCTGAATTGGATGAGAACTTTCGACTGATCCAGCTCTTTCCAAGAGTTTCCAGAGGGAGATCTCGAGGTCGATAAGCCCCTTCTCCACTCCCGGGGGCTGTTCGCTGGCTGGTGGCGGCTGTGGAGCAGACCGTCTGGACAAGCTCTTATAGACATCGGGCAGGGTTGCTCCAAAATGTCTCACATTAAGTAGCCTTTTGATGGGGAGTTCAAGCCTGCGAGATGTCGGCAGCTGAAGCTCATAGCGAGTCGCATGCTGACATGGAAAGCACGCTTCCCGCCATCCGGGGCCAGGCTCTCAGCTGAACGCTCCAAACCCCTCCCCCCCTCCTGAATGAGCTCGTCCAGCTCTACGAACAACTCACGGCTGAAGGCTTCGAGCGCCTCGTCAGGGCACACTGCGGCGGCGTGAGCAACTCGTACAGACTTGGCCTGAATCTCGGTGCTCAGCTGCTTTCGCGTCGCTGATCCTGAAAAGAGGACACCACAACACGAGGTGCCAGGCTATGACAACACGAGGTGCCAGGCTATGACATGCGGCCTCCACGGACATTCAAGCCCAGGGCCTGGCAATACCAAAGAGCACGCGAGGAGCACGCGAGGAGCACGCGAGGAGCACGAGCTCTGGACATCCATAGCGCACCTCCAGTGAGAGCAAAGGCCTTTGAACCAGTTGGGCCACCTCGGCCGCATGTTTCGTCTTGCTGTTTAATTCAACAGTTCTGTCTGATCGTCGAACGTCCATGCTGAATCATCCTGCGCACTTGGAGCAGGTGTTGAGAAGCTCACGCGCCCAACAATGGAGAGTGGTTCCTCCCTGGCGCTCAGTCGGCTCTCCTCCTCCGACAAATCAGGCCGATGGCGAATCATTGCAACCGAACGGCGATGTGAGGTGTCCTGCTTTAAGGTCAGCTCCTGCCGCTTTCTTGCCGAGATCAACCTCATGGTCCTCCGCAAGGAAACAAAGGCATCTTTAAAGTCCAGAACATCGGCTGAGAACTCGTCAGAGTGCCTTAACAAGCGCTGCTCAACATCCGCGACCTGGGACGTGGAACATGTTGACAGTAATTCTGATTTGAGACTTTCTAGGACCCGAATACGCACCTGCCTGCTGCTGTGTGACAGGTCGAAGGAACGAGTGCATGCTTTGGAAGGGAAAGTTCACGGCCTACGGTCCCGGCAGTTGCTTCGACCACGATCTGGTTTTGCTCCGCACAAAGCTCAGGTCGAGACACCGAAGCCACTCAATGTCGCCACAACTGTGACTCCTAACACTCCGATACCTGGCCATGAGATTTCGTCCGGGAAGTTGCACAAGACACATCCTACAGCATCCGAGAATGTGTCCGAAATACGGCCGGGGATGCGAGCCATCAGCAGGTCCGCGGAGAAACTGACCTTGGCACAACGATGGGTTCGGTCGGCGACTCGCTGCTTCGGTGCTGGCACGCTCTGTCCCTTGAAATCTCATACTGCCACCTGTCAGGAACTAAAGTGTTGGAGTCTGAAAGCTTGTAATGTAGAAGGACTTGGCAAAGCACAGCATGCTGAGACACCAGCAGAGTCTATGTGAATCAACCTGCTCCGGCTGTGATGGTGGGTTGGACAACACGCATCATGCACTGGCCTTCCGAAGCCATCTGAGCCCGCCACCGACCCGAGATGTATATCGCGTACCTGCGCAAGCCGACGGTGACAGGAAAGAATTAAGTCTGCCCAGGCCCAGGAACCAGAACGGAGGTAGCGAAAGGACGGCCGAAGCAAAGGCCTCGGAGGCGTGGCGGTGTCGTGCTGTGATGTGCACTGGAACGTTGGATTGTCAGCTCCCAGTTTGCAGCCATCACTTCTGAGGGCTGGGTCTGCCTGTTCCTGTGACATACATGCCCGTCTAGCCAAAAGCCTGCATGCTAACAGTTAGAAAGCGCCCTTTGCCAGAACAGTGGCAAAATGCAGAAGTGAGTGGTCCTACATGACCCATCGAGACGCGAAAGCTCCTGTAAGCTGACGGCGAGACGGTGAGAGCCGTAGCAAATGGATCGCACAGATGTCCACACCTCAGCTGAAGAGGAACGAAGGCTAATCAGGCAAATCGCCCCGGCAGTCTCGGAGCAGCTGAGCGTAGCTGAGCGGCAGGCAAAGCATGCTGGCAAGGCAACATAGGCAAGCCAGATTAGCGTCCAGTGATCCACCTGCCGACGCAAGCAACACTCAAGAGGATTGCAGCTTGCTGCGACAAGTACTGTTTCAGAGAGTTGGATAGCAGACTTGAAGAATCCTAGCGCAAGTTTACCGTCGTTTGCCCGCAGTTTGCAGACAGGTTCCAAGCCGCATCCTTGCATGACTCCGCACTGCAGGGAAACTCAAATCTGGCTGTCCAGCAAAATCGTTGAGTCTGATCCGCAGCTCCTTTGTCTTTACATGCTCTGCCAGCCTCTCTGGGTCTCACTACACTTTGCAGATGCTGTGCCTGGGGTGGGTCTGTTCTGCCAATACCACAGAGGCAGAATTGACATATGCCTGTACATGCTGCCCCCCCGCCGAGTTTAAGCAGGCCAGATAACAAAACATGCTGCCCCCAAGCCGAGTGTAAGCAAGCCAGATACTAAAAATTTGCAGACACGTGATCTTGGCACGGTACAGAAAAACTTTCCTGCTGATTGCCAGGCTGCGACGCGGCGGATCTTAAGTTGTCGAGTTGGGGGTGGAGAATTTTTTTTTGCCTTTTTTTTCTTTTTTTGGCCCCTTTTTTCTTGGGGAGCTCTCTCTGTGTCTGTGTCTGTGTGT